GCCGAAATCTGTTGACGAGGCCATGAGGTCTGTTGATTGCACATTGTGGAAAGAAGCCATCAAAAGTGAGTTAGACTCAATTAAGTCAAATCTCACTTGGGATTTAGTATATCTCCCAAAAGGGTGTAAACCAGTAGGTTGCAAGTGGATCTTTAAAAGAAAATTAAGACCAGATGGGTCTATTAAAAGATTTAAAGCCAGACTTGTAGCTAAAGGCTATACCCAGATGTCTGGTGAAGATTACTTTGATACATATTCACCAGTAACAAAAATAGCAACCATTCGTGTTTTGTTTGCGTAGCCTCAATGCACAGGTTGTTAGTCCACCAGATGGACGTAAAAACTGTGTTCCTTAATGGTGACTTGGAAGAAGAAATCTACATGGAGCAACCTCCTGGGTGTGCCGAACCTGGTCAAGAAGGAAAGTTATGTAGACTCAAAAAGTCTTTATATGGCTTGAAGCAAGTCCCTAAACAGTGGTACGAAAAGTTCCACAATACCTTATTAGACCTAGGTTTCTTGCTAACCGGTCAGATGCTTGCTTATATTCGAAAGAGATTGAGTCTACAGTTGTGATTATATGTTTCTATGTAGATGATATGTTGATATTTAGTTCAAATATTTACACAATCAGTGAAACAAAACGGGTCTTGAGTACCAAATTCGATATGAAGGATCTAGGGGAAGCCGATGTGATTCTTGGGGTAAAAGTTACAAAAACCACTAAAGGTTACCATCCGGCTCAAAGGCCATTATACTGAAAAACTATTAAAGAAGTTCAATAGTTTTGATGTGACTCCGACTAAAACCCCTTATGATCCGAGTATCAAACTGTTTAAAAACAAGGAGGAAAGTACATCTCAAGGAGAATATGCAAAAATTATTGGAAGTTTAATGTTCCTAATGAATTATACTAGGCCTGATATTGCTTTTGTAGTGAATAGACTCAGTCGCTATACTCACAACCCAGGTAGTGCACATTGGGATGCACTAAACAGGGTACTACGGTACCTCCGAGGCACACTGGATTGGGGTCTTGACTATGTAGGATTCCCAGCAGTGATGGAAGGGTTCTGCGATGCTAATTGGGTCAATGAAGGTGACGATGCTAGCTCCACCAGCGGATACATGTTTACTATGTGCGGAGCAGCGGTCTCATGGAAATCGACTAAACAGTCGTGTATAGCTAGATCAACTATGGAAGCAGAGTTCATAACTCTTGATCTAGCAAGCCAAGAAGCAGAATTTGCTGAGAAACTTGTTGGCAGACATACCATTGTGGGGGTGTCCAACACCTTCTGTGCTGTTGCATTGTGATTCACAAACGACCATTTGTGTTGTGAAAAACAGTGCCTATAATGGAAAAAGAAGGCACATAAGAGTCAGACATGAGTCTATACGACAATTGATTACGACCGGAGTAATCACGATGGAATATGTGAAGTCTGAGAGGAATATTGCAGATCCTCTAACAAAAGGGCTAAACCGAAAATCCATCATTGAGACGTCAAGGGAAATGGCTTTGAGTTCGGTAAGGTGAGGAATTCATGACGAGGTCGTGGAAAGACTCACATAAGTGAAATGATGTTAGTCCTAATAACTCTGTAACTCTAAAAGAGTGATCTATGTTGAGGTAGACTTGACAGAGTGAGATTTAGTGGTCAAAGCATTGACTCGTGTGTGTTGAAATAAATGTTGGTGTGTGCATTTGAGTTCAAAACTTGGCCAAACGAAGAGTTCAAGACTTGTTTCACTCTCGGGAGGAAAGTTACTCAGTGTCACTACGTGTCAGTTCAAGATTTTAAATCACTGACATTAAGGCCAACTTTGCGTTGTTTCAGCCTTTTCTATAAATGTGTGGGCGATTGTTGAAAGTCCATTCACAAAAAAGGCTATTCAATATAATTTTTTATATTATTAATTATTAATATTGCCGCCTAAATATTTGGGCATGTCCGTAAGAGTTTTTCTTCTTGTCCGCAAGTCCTGAGACGTGGATCAATCAACAAAGTCTTCCACAATTATAGCACATGTACATGTGGTGTGTATGAAAGAGTTGGTTAAACCATGCACTATAAATAGCCATGCAACCAAGCTCCAGGACTCACAGAGATATACACACAGACGTATACACACAAATTCTTCTTCTTCTGCTATAATTCTGAGCTTTGTTATTGGCTTTGCCCAAGCGCAAGCTAGCGTGCCTGTGTTACCGGTCGAAAGCAACCGTGGGAAGTCGGGAATTGCTTTTAAGGCAGTGTTCCTACGAACACGACACAGTGTAGAGGTTTCCTTATCACTCGCTCACTTTCTAGAATACAGACATTGTTTAGTCACAAAACACAACACGAACACGCTGTTACGGACGCACAACCAACATGCATGTTAACTTGTATGGTAGTGTCGCACCCAATTCCATTAATAGCATGTAGTGAGATTTAAGGGTGGTCTACGTTGATGGAGTCCCGCGTCTCTGGTTCATCTGCGGTTGCTTCGGGTTCGTCGTTGACCAATAAGAAAAGATGTTTGCAATTGTGCACCGCCCACCACCGCTCATCATAATGGAAACACAATCCCTTGAATCGCTGGTGTGCATATTCTGAATGGGAGAGTCGTCGTTCATGGGGAGGGTAAATGTCGGCCGAAGTGGTAGAATTCCATGACCCATTGGAGGGTCGGAACTACATGGCCGTTTGTCGAGTTGGTGCGACGGAGTGGCCAGCGACTGAGCTTGCGGTGGCGGTCGCCTGGGCTGGTGTTGCGTGCGGGAAGCTGCAGACGCCGGAAATGAGGTCGCTGGTGTGAAGGTCCACCTGCAAAAGAAGAGAAGAAGCTAGAGAGAAACGTGTCGCCTCTTTTGCATGGAAATGGCCGATGGAGTTTCGCAGAGCATACTCATGATGCCGGGAAAATGAACGAGCCATGTTCATAGCTACGTCAAGGTTAGCCGGCCGCTGGTTCTCCACATCAATGTGAAGCCATTCGTCCAACCCAGTGGTGTAGATGCCGTACAGATGTCGTACGCATGAGCATGGACTAGAACGCATCATTGTACTCCTTGATGTGACGTCCTTCCTGATTGAGCTTCTCAAGAAAGCAGAGTACGTTGCTACGAAGACCTGGTCCAAACCATAGGAAGCACATTTGCTTAAACTGCTGCCACGACATATCGGGTTCCTCGAGTTCCAACCGAAAATGCTACATCTGGGCTATGCTGGTTAAGTGGAAGGCTGTTGTGCTAACGAATTCATGCGGTGGGGGTGTTCTAGGCTTTAAAGAATTGTTCGTAGTGGTGAAGCCAACCAATGGGGTCATCCCTGCCGTCATAGTGACACTCTCTCGTGTTTCCTAATCAATTGTGGATTCACGAAAGGTAAAGTGGACAAAACTCTATTTTATATCAATGATGGTGATCATATCCTATTGGTCGAAATCTATGTTGACGACATCATCTTTGGAAATACCAACCCTTTGTTAAGTGAAAAGTCCTCTGAGCTAATGAAGAGCAAGTTCGAGATGAGCATGATGGGAAAACTTAACTACTTTTTGGGATTGCAAGTTAAGCATAGTGACGAAGGAATACTCATCAACCAAACTAAGTACACAAGGATTTAATTAAGAAGTTTGGTGTTGATAGAAAGTCATCTATTAAGATCCCAAAGAACACTTTGTTACGAATGGACGTTGACAACGAAGGAAAAGATCTTGATCAAGCCAAATATAGAGGAATTATTGGCTCTCTACTATATCTAACAACTAGTAGACCGGATATTTCTTTTGTCGTAGGAGTATGTGCAAGACTTCAGTCTAATCCTAAAGAGAGTTACCTCACATCTACAAAGAAGATCCTAAGATACCTTAAAGGTACGCAATGTGTTGGACTTTGGTATCCGAATGGTGGATCATTCGAATTGATTGGTTATTCGGATGATGATTTTGTCGGATGGAAGATTGATTGAAAGAGTACTTCAGGAACTTGTCACTTTCTTGGAAGAAGACTTGTATCATGGTTTAGCAAGAAACAAAAACTCCATTACAACAAGTACAACTGAAACTGAATATATAGCCGCCGGAAGTTATTGCGCTCAAGTCTTATGGATGAAACAACAACTTAAAGATTATAGAGTTGAAGTCAAAGAGATTAACATTAAGTGTGATAACCCTAGTGCACTACAAAAAACCAGTCATTTAGCAACATAATATTAGAGGCGGTTTGTTGTAACCGCCGCTAAATAAGTATTTAGCGACGGTTATATAAACCGCCACTAAAAATAAGGGGCAACTTTTAAAATTCTCCCTGTCTGATGTATATATCCTCCCTCCTATGTTAAATCACTACAAATTTAGTAATCAAAAATTTTTAACCCTATTTCATAGTCGATCCTCTCTGCCTCTGCAATTTTCACTGCCCCTCCGTCGTCTTCGACTCTCCCGTCTCCGCTTCTCATTTTCGACTTTCGGCTTCTCCACTCATCTCTCGCCTCGCATAGTCACCGCCTTACACCCTCCGCCCGGTTATATATGGTTGGAAGGAGCACTAGTACTGGAACAGGTTTATGACGGGGGTTGATTTTCCGGTAATTTCTCCCTTTTCTTTTTCTTTTCCACTTTCAGCTTTTCCTTTTTCTCTGCGAATCAAATCTGCTATCTAAGTTCATCATGGCTTGCTATTTCTCTTCCTCCTTGGACCGTCGCTTCCTAGTTGAACGCCAAAATGTGTGTTTTTTAAAGGTTCTTCTCATTTTCAATTTGGATCTTTGCCCTACTTTTAGGTACTCCTTGCTTGAATTTTGTTAATTAATTTGAAATTTTAGTTTTCTTTTCATTTACCGCTGATAATTCTGTAATTCCGTAATGTTCTACTACATTCAGCATTTTGCTCTGCTTATCAGTATCAGATCTTTCCTCTATAGATGACACTGATTTTGAAAATGCAAAATCCATTGATTGTAGAGTATAAGGACTCCTGGGTGGAGAAGGTTAGTTCTAAGGCTAATGAAAAATATGTTATTCTTACCTGTTTTGTCTGTCCTTTCATATTCTTATGCAGAGTTTGTGACACTACTTATCTTTGTTGTTTATTCAGCCAAATAGGATTACCTTTAACTTGACACCAGAGATCATTCTTCAGGTATATTGTTTCCTTTTTACTTTTCTAAACATGACACTGTACAACACATTTAATTATTAAAAAAAGAAGAAGCTTAAAATAAGAATTATCAGGTATTGTCATAAATTTGGTGCAACACGATTTTTTTTAGCATTTTTGTTATGATTTGATATGCAATTGTTAATTCATTCATGTGGTAGGGCTGCAGCAAGATTCTTAGATATGACTTTCCCAAATGCTGCCAATGCTATTCCACTTTAATTTCCTATAGAACATTCTATACTTCTATTTGATGGTACATCACAATCTCAGTAGTTTGGATATTTGTTAGTATTAAATAAAATTTATGGTGTACGAGGTTGAACATATTCCGGATATTTATTATGGAGATCTAATAGTACTAAAAAACCTAGACTATACTATACTTTTAAAGGTACATTTGAAACTCCTGTGAGTTGCTATCTTCTATAGAAAGGCCTCAAATACAATTTCTCTCAACCTTGAATTTTTTTTCTTTTTTCTATTTGATATGCTTCTGTTTCAGTGTTTCCCTTGATCTCAAGGGAGGGATGAAGAAGAGACTGAGAAGTGGAGTGGTTTGTTACTCCATTGGCTCTGCAATGTCTCCTCTGTGTAAGTAAATATCTTTCACTGTTTTCGTTGTTATTATTTTTACTGTGCATCCTTCCTTATTTGTAAATGTTTGGCACTAAAAGTATAGCACAGTCTCTGGTCTTCCCTTCTTTTCCTCCCTTTTACTCTGAATTTTCACATGATTACTATGACATTGGTGCTAATTTTTAGGTCAATGATGTTTAGTATGCGTGTCAAGACTTGCATGTTTTATTCTCACAATTCTTCGATTCTCTTCCTTAGGGTTTTGATGCTTGCCAAGAGAACTTCTATTCAAAAATCTTTTCTTGTTACTTTGTTTTCTTTGCAAACCCCTTTAACTCTCGTCTCATGAATCAAGTAAGCATCTCTCCTTAATTTTTGTGGTTTATGGTCATGGTGAGTGTATGCTATTAAATTCCAAGCTTCAATAAACAAATTAAACATTGATTTGCAGGGGTGAGTATGGCTTTTGGACAGCATTCTTGGCACTGCTTATTCACCTTTTCATCTTCTTTCCTGGTAAGTTTTATGCCAGTTTCTGTGCTTTGTTATATTGGCATAACTCTTTAAGTATACCCAATCGGCATTATTTGAAACATGGAATTGCCTGTTTTGACAATCTTAGAAATGTAAGATAGAAATAATTCCAGGTTTTTTCCTGCTTGTTAAGTTAAGACGATGAAATGAACACGAGGGACGTCACCCATACTGAGCCTAATATTGAATCTCTTGTTTTCTGCTTTGGTATTTTATTTCATTTCTTGGCAAAGGAGGCTTTGGACAAGTCTATGTTGGTCGCTGAATTTCTGGTGGTAATGCAATTGAAAGAACACGAGGGACGTCACCCTTACTAATAAATTGGATTTCTCTCGTGTGTGTTCAATGCAAACATCTTATGTTTTGGTGTTCTAGTGCTGCACAGGTAGCTTTGAAATTTGAGCATCGAAATAGTAAAGGATGCAACTATGGACCACCATATGAATGGCAGGTTTACAAGTTAAATAATTGTCTATGACAAGTAATAAAACAACTCAAAATTGAAATCCAGATTGTGTTTTGCAGTGGGTGTATATGAGCAATTACTGTAAATTCTGATCTTTTCTTCATACTTTCATGCTACAGGTCTTAACATCGTTTGCAGGGGCTCTCCTGGAGAAGCAAGTTGTAGTAGTTTGTTTGCTTTCAGAGGAAAGAAAAATACTACAAGGAAAAGTCAAGACTATTAATTCTCATCGAGGGTGAGAAATGATATTCATAGTCTAGTGATGATGTAAAATGTCAATTTCCTTTTGCACGAAACCTTCATATTGAATAAACTACTATATTGTCTTCTGTTATCAGTTGCAGGATTATGCAAACAAATAGAGGGACTGACTAATAATGTTGAAATATCAAATGAAATGGTAATTCCCCCTCTTCAATTATGTATTATTTCTGTTTTTATGTAGAACTATAGAAGCACTGGCATAGGGGAACTTTTCATGCCTAACATAGTAATGCCTCCTGCTTATACTTGAGGCAATTTTTTTTTAATATTTTATTTTTTTACTGTGATGTGATCAGTGGTCCACCTTGCAATGTGGACCATGATTCAAGTATAATTTGCCCATTTTTTGCAATGACTTTAGCTTAGTAGTCACTTGGTGAGTTTATGAGACTGTTATTCAGAGCAGTGACATCATAAACTAATCATTTCTCTTACAATCAACAAATTAGTGAAAGAACTTGAGTCATGCCATTATCTAGCTTGACTTGAAACACTGGAGATTTGTCTTCTAATTCATTTTTCCTGATATTTCAAGAATGTGGCTGAGTTCTAAATCATTACTACATAACAAATTTACAAATTTGTTTAAATATGGTTGCAGGTGTTTATGTTGCAAAGAAGCTGGAAGAGAAGGATATGGAAATTAGAAGGGTAAAGAAAGAGCGGGAGCAAAGAGGTCTCAAGGAAGAGTCACATGAGAAACCATCACTACAGAGGAGATGAATGAGCTCTCTTCTGATGATAAAATTGCCACCAATGAGCTTGGATGTAGAATTGATTTTCTTTTAATATGTAAACTTTCTTGAATATTGTTAAATATTAGTATTTGGCAATACAAGTTACATTTGATTTTCTTCTAAATTAAATGTTTTTTTTTTTTTTTTTTTTTTTTTTTTTTTTTTTTGCAATGCACATATGAAAGTAGATGTTTACAACAAAAAGTAATTTAATGACAATTATTATAAATTTAGTAGCAATACCTATTATATTAGAAAATACAAAAAAATAATTATATATATATATATATATATATATATATATATATATATATATATATATATATATATTTAAATCCCTATTATATGAGAAAATACAAAAAAAAAAATTTAAATAAACATTAGCGGCGGTTTTGAAACCGCCGCTAACATTTACCAAAAAAATATATATTAAATAAACATTAGCGGCGGTTTACACATTTAAAATAAATATTAAAAAAATATTAGCGGCGGTTTGGGAACCGCCGCTAAATGCACATTAAAAACTGTAAATATTAAATAAATATTAGCGGCGGTTATAAACCGCCGCTAAATGCACCCAAAACCGCCGCTAAATGAGTTTTCCATTAATTCCCGCGGTTGTTGAAAACCGCCGCTAAATGCTTCGCGACACACTATTTAGACACGGTTTAATAAACGCCGCTAAACACACTAGTGGCGGTTTGGAACCGCCGCTAAACGCAAAAAAAACCGCCGCTAAATGCCTGATTTGGTGTAGTGGTGCTATTGCCAGAATTCACAATCCGGTGTTACATTCAAAGACCAAGCACAATAATATAAAGTACCATTTTATCTGTGATCATGTTGAGAATAAGGATATCGTGCTTGAATATGTGAACACTGAAAATCAGCTTGTAGATATTTTGACAAAGCCTTTACGTGAAAGTAGATTCTCAACACTAAGGCTTGAGTTAGGCATGATTGAGATGAGTTGAAGTTACAATTTGAACAATATTAAAGATTTGAGAGGTTATGAAGTACCTTCAAATATCTTTTGTCTTCTTTTCAATAACGTAAAAAACTTAATTTCTAATGAAATTTGTGAGATTTACAAACGATTTGTAAGGGTAATTGCTTCAATAACACTTAAGTTGAATAACTACCCTTTATAGTACCATAAATTGCTTCGATTGCACATCTTTATGCCTTCGAGTGCAGAATTTTGGCCTTCAAGTGCACTATTATGGACCAATATTTATTATATCTTTTGCATTCTTTTAATAATGTATAACTAAATTTCTAATGAAACTTTTGAAAATTTGATTTCTAAGGATAATTGTTTCAACAACACTTAAGTTGAATAACTTCTGTTTTTGGTACCATAAATTGCTTCGATTGCACATCTTTATGCCTTCAATTGCATAATTTGACCTTCGAGTGCATAATTTGGCCTTCGAGTGCACATTTTGGTGCCTTCAAGTGCACAATTATGGACCAGTGCGTAATTTTGGCTTTCTTTATTTTGGTGCCTTCAAGTGCACGATATCCTTATTCAAGCATATCTTTATTCCTTCAAGTTTACAATTTTGGCATTCTACAATTTTGGCATTAGAATGCATATTTTTGTGTCTTCAAGTGCATATTTTTGTATAAATTTTTTATTTTAAGAGCCAATGTTCACATTTATCCGTACTTTTGCACGGGAAGTCCCTTTTACCACTGATCCTAAATGTGTGTGTGTGTGTGTGTGTGTGTGTGTGGAACTTTAATGATACGAACAATTTTGTCAGATAAAAAAATAATAGTACAATATCTGTAAAATAATATGCAATTGTACAATAATAGAAATACAGACGAAAAATATTAATGTCATAATGACCTAAATCATTTCAATAATACAAAAGGATAATTAAAATATTGAATCTTGTTCTAAATAATCAAAAGAAGATTAATTAAACGAAAACAAAGGGAAAAAAAAAAAAAAAAAAAAGGTAACCTAGATTTGTTTTTAAAAAATGCAAGAAAATGATTTTCAAGGTGGCTAATTAATTGATCAAAGTTCATGTTAAATTTTATATTGTATTTTTTAATACACTCTAATAAATTCATTATATATGTTCAACAATTATGCCAATTCTGATTGGGATGAGGTTCGATCCTAAGACTTTCCTTATAGAAATCAATGAGTAAGTTAATAATAATAAATAGTTAACGGAATATTTCGTTACTAAAGTTTACAATGACGAAATGTGGTGATGTTTAAGAAAAAGTAAATGATATAAGGGCATCCTCAATAGTGGTAGGATTTTGAGGAGATTTTGTAGGTGTGATTAGGAAAGAGAAATTAGTGAAAAGGAAAACAAATAAAAATAAAAATAAAAAACAAGATAAAAAACTGAAAAATCCTCAAAAACCTCCCAAAATTCCCAAAATTCTGACAAAATCCCTTAAATAACCTAATGGCACCCCCAATAGTGGGGATTTTGGTGTAGTTTTTGAGGAGTTTTTGTATGTGTGATTAGGAAAGAGAAAATGAAAAAAAAATAAAATAAAACATAAAAACCAAAACAAAATAAGAAAAAGTAAATTAAAAAAGCAAAAAGTGACATTGTTAGAAGCAAAAATCAAAACCACCGTCTGTCTCTTTCTTCAGCTGGGGCTACAAGCTGACAAAATCTCTATATTAACATAAGCACCCCAAACCTTCTCTCACTTCATTCTCTTTCATCCATGTAAGCAACTTTTCTTAAAACAACGTGAACAATTCCCTTATTATTAGGGATGCCCTAACAACCCCAACTCTCTCTCTCCTCTCTCATCTCCCCTCCAACCAGGGACGGAGCCAGAAATTGGAGAGGGGGGGGGGGGGGGGAGGGGGGGCGAAGAAGTAGGACGGATTCAAAAAAAAATTTCAGTAAAAGCGAAACATTAAAACAAAAGAGATAATTTAAAAAATAAATAAATAAATTATCTAAGAATTATTTTTATAACCATTACTTAAAAAAATATAGTTGTAAATATTGTTGGATATGTGCGAAAAATAAAACACATCGAAACTTTATAAAAATATTCATAACAAAATATGAAACATAATTAATTTGATAAAATAATTTGAATAGAAAACACATTATAAATTACACATATTAAATATTAAAAAAGTGACTGTGTTGAAGCCATAGGAGAATGACTCAAAAATATGTATGTAAAACTATGTTAATGCAAGGATTTAAACCCAAGACCTTTCTTATTAATAACAAACATATGCCTTACTAACTAATCTAACTCCTTACTTATCAATATTTACTAGTTTTTTTATACTAATACTAAAACCTATACTATATATACATATATACATACAAAGATTATATATGGCGTGGGGGTGGGGTGAGGGGGCCAGCTGCCCCCCCCCCCCCCCCTACTTCGTCCCTGCCTCCAACACATTAACTTTTTCTTAAAATATGTGCAAAATCCCCCTAATGGGGATGCCCAAGAGCATCCTTATCAGTTGAGGTTATTTCTCAGTTATTTGTGGGTCCCAGCATCCACCTCATCCTCTATCATCTCATTCAATTACAAAAAACCATTCTCCACATCAATTTTGAGTTATTTCTCTGTTTTTTATGCACACACCATTTAACCCACTATATTTTAATTATTTATCTCACTTATTGCCCCTGGTCTCTTGGTATTTTAATTTTGCATTGGTTAGAAAGAAAAAAAAATACCAATGAGACAAAATTACCCTTATCTTTTCTAACATGAAAAAGATATTCTTGATACAAAATTACCCTTCTATAGTATTTTTTGGATGTAAGCATTTAAAAAGCTTAACATTTTATTATGGTTAACTAAGGCTCTGTTTGGCAAACCTAGCTGAAAAGCTATAAGCTAGGAGCTGATAGCTGAAAAGGAGCTGATAGCTGAAAAGGAGCTGAAAGCTGAAAAGCTATAAGCTCGGAGCTGAAAATTGAAGAGCTGTTAAGCTAGCTGTTATGATTGAAAGTGTTTGGTAAAATTAGCTTTTTGATAAGCTGATAAATGTAAAAAGACTAAAAAGGACATCTTCATAAACTTTAAATTAGTTTGTTTACATATTAAAATTTAACATTTCGTCTTCCAAAAAAAGTAAACACTTTTTAAAATAAAACTATTAGCATGATCATGATCTAGCATCCCATAATGAAGTAGCAATATTGTTGCGAATCTCCTTCATCTCCATAGAGGTGTGACTTAAATTTTCGTTGATGGAGATATTACTACTTGAATTTGAGATATTAGAGGTGTGACTTAAATTTTCGTTGGCGGCTCTTGTTCAATTTGAGAATGAAGCCATATTGCTAATTTAATAATAATAATAATAATAATAATAATAATAATAATAATAATAAGCTAAAGTTTTAACATAATTGTTTAGCAGGAAACATGACTAAGGAAGGGATTGACGTGAAAGTTGAGATAGGGGAAGAGAAAGAGTTTTAATTCATAAGGTTAAAATATGTCATTACTTTAAAATAATAAGGGTAAAGATGGAAAAAAAGTTAGGAAGCTAGGAGCTTATTTTGAAACGCTACCTAAAGTAGCGTTCCAAAATAAGCTCTTATTTTAAGCTAGGAGCTTATTTTGGGAACATTACCAAACAGAGCTTATAGCTTATTAGTAGCTTAAAATAAGCTATAAGCTCCTAGCTTAGCGTTGCCAAACAGAGCCTAAGTTGTGTACTTTTATTTTTATGAAGTTTTTTTGGAGGTGAACTTATGAAGTTTAACGCTGCATGATTAAGTAAATATTGAAAGTTATTAAATATGTTATAGTGATTTAAGCTTATCCAATGTGTCCAAATAACAACTTCACTGCATTATAATTTTGACACAAATTTACTTGTTATTTAATATTATTATTAATATTAATAATAGTAGGAGGACATTTTAATCTTAATACTATTTATTCCATTTCAATTCTCATGGATACCAAACACAAAATTTAAAATTTTCAATAATTTTATTCTTGCAAACCAAACAATGAAATTTGAATTTCTACTTTATTCGACATTATCCATCTCCCATAAAATTGCAATTCTTTTTCCTTTAATTCCCTCCTTGCAACCAAACACCCCCTTTAACTTTTTTTAGTAAATGGCCTTGAGAATTTTTTTTTTTTATTATTAAAAATGAATGGAAAAATTGCACCTTTTGTCCATAAGTTATCATTGGCGGCGTTGCACTTTTCGTTACTTTACTAATAAAACATTAGGGATAAAATTTACAATTTTAGTATAACTCAAGAATGAAAAGTGAGCACGAAAGGACAAAAAATGCAACACTGATGTAACTTAGGGACGAAAAGTGTAAATTTTCCAAAATGAATTTAAAAAAATAAAAATGAAAGGTCAGATAGACCATCTAACTACACACCAAATTGCAATTAGATCATTGAACACCAAAAAAAAAAAAAAATTACAATTAGGCTTTTGAATAACACAGATTCTATAATGTAACTTAAAATGACTTATTTGCCCATTAATATGCTGATGTCGATTACCGAATTTAAAAATAAATTTTTAAGGAAAAATTGCACCTTTCGTCTCTAAGTTATAGAGTAATTGTAACATTCGTCCCTTGGTCATGCTCACTTTTTTGTCCCTATGTTATCATTGATGTTGCAATTTTTGTACTTTCGTGCACACTTTTCGTCCTTGAAATTGCAAATTTCGTCCCTAATATTTTATTAGTAAAGGAACAAAAAATGCAACGTCAATGATAACTTAGGGACAAAAAGTAAGTATGACCAACACTTAAGGACGGAAGTGTAATTTTTTCATTTTTTTAATTTTATTTGAATAATTTAAAATAACATAATTTTTTTTTTTTGAATTTAGTGACCTAATTACGGTTTGATGTGTAATTAGAGGCCTATTCCTTAAAAAAATACAGAGTAAATACCAGTAAAGGTCCCTTGAGTTTAGTGATTCCGCCATCAATGGTCCTAAACTTTCGTTTTGACCTTCCGTCATCTTCCGAATTTCAAAAATATCTTCCAATAGTCATTCAGTTAAATTTGTCCAGTCTCATCCGTGAAATGTTAGGAGTATAATAGCCTTTTCGTTTATTTCTTCCCAAATACAAAGTGTGTCGAGCAGATCACTAAAAAGACCCATCCCTCCATAATCCTAATCTATTTCCCTTCCATCGAAGCAGCTAATTCCTCCCATTTCTTCGTCCATGGATAAGTGAGCTTCGCTTAAACCACACCTTCAATCAAAATAAGAGATCAAATCATTAGGTAAACTTACCTTCTATTATAATCAGTAGGTGAGGTTCACTTAGAGTCTTAGATCATACCTTCAAATGTTGTAAATTAAAAGAGAAATCATTATATGATATGATATTATATTATACGGAGTAATATCTAAGAGAACACAGATATCTAGCAATGCAATAATTGATCTGAGATGTTGCCCACAATCTGACCAACACCCACTAAGAAGATCAAACTGCTAATCCACAACTATGTCTCTGTTCAAGTTGTTTTCATCATGGCCGCAGCCCATCACCGGAGGCGGCAGATCTTTACCCGTCGGGCTCCCCAACCGCGTGCGCCGCGATTCTCTGCTTCATTCATACACAGCATTCGCTAGCTTTTGCTTGGCGAAGTCGACCCTTTCTGCCCCAATAATCCGCAGCCCCCTTCCGCCGGCGTAACAATACACCCGGTAGAACATGACGGCAATGGGAGGAATTAGCTGCTCCGATGGAAGAGAAATCGATTAGGGTTAGGGAGGGATGTTTTTTTGTAGCGATTTGCTCGACAGATTGTGTATTTGTGGAAAATTAAATAAAAAGACTATTATGCCCCTTAGATTTCACGGTTGAGACGGACAAACTTAACTGAAAGACTACTAGAAGCCATTTTTAAAATTCAGAGGATGACGGAAGATCGAAATGAAAGTTTAGAACTATTGATTACAAAATCACTAAAGTCGAGGGACTTATATTTACTCAAAAAAAAAAAATATAATATGTCTTTCCCTCTTCATTTGAGGATCAAGAATCTCTCGTTGCCGGTATCAAAATTGAACAGGAAAATGATTTGCAGTATTTGAATTGGGTGCTGGTCGAAACCCTAGCCTTGAATTCTTGTTAAGATGAATAGACATTGTGTTTCAGCTTCAGCAGGGTTCACCCGCAGGCATTTCAATTATTTTCACCACCGAGGCAATAATTTCCCGTATTATCGTTGTAGCGTCAACCCACTGGTTGCAATGGTATATTTCTTTAGTTCTCAAACTCTTAACTCTCATGATACGGTTGCTTGTCCCCCTTCGATGAATCTTGAGTTGTATTTGCAAAATCGCCTATCTGGGTTTAAGTATGTTAGCAAGCTCGATGAAGCCCTTGCTTTGTATGATCAAATGGTTCGAATGCAACCCCGACCTTCTATAATTGAATTCACTCAGCTGTTGAATGCGGTGGTGAAGATGAAATGCTACTTGTATGTTGTGTCTTTATTCAACAATATGCGTGTATTAGACATTCAAACCGATGAGTATACACTGAACGTTGTCATAAATTCTCTTTGTCGTTTGCGCCGAGTTGATTTGAGTTTTGCAGTCCTCGGAAGCTTCTTCAAGAGTGGCCATGTGCCCAACGTTACTGTCTTCAGCACCATACTAAAAGGGCTGTTCCTTGAAGATAAGATTCGGGAGGCTTGTAAACTGTTTCAGAAGTTGTTTGTAGAGAAGATATGTGAGCCAGATGAATTTCTGTTATCAGTAGTAATTGACGGCCTTTGCAAAGCAGGATTCACTGGCATGGCTGTTAACTTACTTCGTCTGTTTGAGGAGAAAGGAAATTGTAAGCCTGCTGTTGTAGCGTATAGCACTATTATTGACAGTTTTTGCAAAGACAAAATGGTGAATGATGCCCTTGTGCTATTTGCTGAAATGATTAAAAAGGGCATTGCTCCCAATGTCGTGACCTATAATTCACTGATTCGTGGACTTTTCAGTTTTGGTCGATGGAAAGAGGCTGTAGGGATGCTGAAACAGATGGGGGACTTTAGGATTTGTCTAGATGTGCATACATACAGCATTTTGGTTGATGGCTTCTGCAAGGAGGGAAGGATTGAAGATGCAGTGAAAGTCATAGAGGAAATGATTCGAGACAGGGTAGATCCTGATGTAGTTACATACAATGCATTGATGGATGGATATTGTTTACAAGGACAAATTAAAAATGCAGTGGAACTCCTAAAGACCATGAACTGTAGGGGATGCAAACCTAATACTCGTAGTTATGACATTCTGATGAATGGATATTGCAAGATTGGGAGGATAGACAAGGCCTTGCAAATTTTTCAAAATCTTCCCCAGGAAAGGTTGAAGCCCTCCGCTGTTTCCTACAACACTATATTGCAAGGTTTATTCAAAGCAGGGAAATGCGATGCTGCCATGAAGCTTTTCAATGAGATGGAAGCTAGGAATGAAGGTCTGAGTCTTGTCAGCTACAATATCCTTTTGGATGGCTTTTGTAAGAGCCATTGCGTAGCTCAAGCACATTCACTACTGAGTGCAATGGAAGATAAGGGTTTGGTTCCTAATATAAGGTCCTACAATATTGTCATAGACGGACTGTTCAAAGATGGAGAGCATGATAGTGCAATGGACCTATTCAATGGCCTTCGTTCTAAAGGTTTGCAGCCGAATGATATAACTTATACTTGTGTGCTAAGTGGACTTTGCCAAGAAGGTCTGCTAGAAGATGCAAAACATCTCCTCAGCAAAATGGAGAACAGTGGTTGCATGCCCAGTAGTGTGGCATACAATGTTCTTGTTCGTGGATTTGTTAAAATGCATGAGCATCGTGAGGCCATTGTACTGTTGCAGAAAATGTTGAGGTATGGATTCTCACCTGATAATAGTACTTGCGAGATTGTACTTGATTCAATCCTGCGGGAAGGACAAGATTCCACTCTTCTTCACATGATTCAAAATACATTGGAAAATGACAAAATGGCCAACCCTTAGTGGAAGTGTATGTATTTTGGCGTTGTACTTGATGTCCATATATTTTATTGAAGGTAAGTCTGTAGTTATTCATTTCCTTTGAGTTTCTGCGTACAAGTATTTCTGCTTTTGAAAATTTGACAGGGTTGAATTCTTAGGTGGTTGGAAACTTCTCAATAATATATGGGTTCAGAGACAGGATCAGAAGATGTGAAGGATATAACCAAATCATCCCCTGCACATGAACTTGAAATAGAAAATGTTGAGGTATTTTTAGCCAACACCTAGATCTAAATATAACCAAACAGCAAAAAAATGAAAGATTTATAGGTTTTCTTCTCTGCTAAATGATTGAGCTTTGAACGGGCATTACCTGATTATTATTGTTGTTTTCTTGTAGATGTTACCTCACTTTTCAGATGTCATCAAAACTCCTTGAATCTTGTGAACATGGTATGCTCCCTTCTTTTTTCTGTTTTCAGTTTTGTTTTGTAGACAGGCAGACATCTTATCATTGCAGAAAGAGTTTCTTCTCATAAATAAGCTTAATTACCTCTTACATTTCTAAAATATGCTTCTCAAGCCAACATGAATCCCTACTATCTAGTGTCAAAAATCAAACAATAAAATGGAATAAGATGCAGACCAATTTGCTGTATCACACAAATGCAGACAGCACCCAATGGAAGAATTTTCGATGCAATAGGCCTGTTCTTGTGAGCTTCTTATTTAGGATGTATATGCAGCAGCAGCAGCATATAATTTGGAGCATACCAATTATTACCCAGAAACTGGAATACAAAGGTTTGGTTCCTCTGTTGCAATTTCTCAATTCTTAGTGAGTTTTCACACATTGGTCTTGCTGATGAGAGCATGCTTTGCTTGTTTAAGTTCATCCCACTGCACTTCGTCTAGTTCTCTTTAATAGCCTTGGGTTAAACCTAGCTATTCTAGGATTAAGTTGCACCTTACGGTGTATGGACAACAGCAGCATGAAATAATTTCTTTAAAATTGTGTATTTCTGATTGAAGATGGCAGGCCGGTGTTGGGATACGATTTCCCAACTATGAGTATATTATTTTTATTATTCCATATTTCCATTTCATGGCAGGTATGAACAATCCACAGATCATTTCATGACAGCGTGCTTAACAATATAAATGAAGATTACAAACACTGTGACACTGACAGAATGCATACTAGTAAAGATATATACACTAGCAGGATGGCGCGCAATGTGCTCAGCAAAATGCCTGGTAAGGTTCTTTGTAAGGCTGGTATTGGGAAAAGAAATGTAGTACACCACAATAGTAGGATGAGGGTTACGAGTAGAACGTGTACCTTTCCGGGTAGCAATGGGTGTCTCAGTGGGATCAATGTCAGATTGCACTTGAAGTGGTGGAACCGTAGCCGGAGAATCGGGTGGCATAGGTGAGTCAACAGGAACCTCAATAGACACATGGCGTGAATGGCGTTGGTAGACTTGAAGGGGGCGGTCAGAAGCAGTTGGAGGAATAGGATCCTGAGCAAGAGGAAGTGGACCAAAATAAGGAAGAGGGAGAACCTCTAAAATAGAGACTGTGTCACCTGCTGAAGGTTGGAAGAAAGGAGTAGACTCAATAAAAGTGACATCCGCAGACACAAAACGATACTTAAGTTCTGGAGAATAACATCGATAACCCTTTTGGAGCCGGGAATAACCCAAGAAAACACACTTGACAGCTTTAGGGGCAAATTTCGAACGCTCAGGAGTCATGTCATGAACAAAACAAACACACTCAAAAACCCAAGGTGAAAAAGGGAAAAGATCAACCGAAGGATACACAATGGAATATGGGTAGGGGTGAGCATCGGTCGGTTTTCGACTAATAACCGAAATTCCAACCGAACCTTCATAACCGACCGAAAATCGACCGAACAACCTTTATAACTGATATAACCGAAACTGACAATTTTTGGTCAGTTAAATATAACTGTTTTTTTTTTTTTTTTTTTTTTAGTAAAATAGCTTTGATTTATAGAAAGTTTTGCAGTTCTTGGCCTGGCATCATTGATCCAATAGTCTGGTTTCCAGGATTATCCGAAATACTGATTTTGATTAAAGAATTTCGGTTTGTCTTTGTCATGGGAAGAGTATGAGAGAGCCCATATGTCTCTAGTTATGAAAATCTAACAACAGAACATTACAGGGAAATGAGGGAATGAAGGTGTGGAGATTCTGGAGAACAAAACCTTTGATGATGATGGTTCTGTCTAATCTACAAATTTTAAATTTCAGTAAACAGTTTCATGCAATTCTTTTCATTGTGTCATATACATGGTAGGGGTAGATGTTATTTATGTGCTTATGCTGATGTTTTTTATTTTTATTTTTTTTATTTTCTTATTTACTCTATATTTAATGCTTGAATTTATGTTCCTTAATTTACTTTGTTTATAAGTTCTGTATATAGCTAAATTTATTTTATTTATTTGACTAATGTTAAAAGACTAAATTATTAAAGGGAAAAAACAATATATTATTCTGCAGTATTTATAATTAATTAAAATTAATGTCCTCAAGTATAATAGTAGTTTAGTGAGATATAAATAAACTATATTTATACATTATATGATTAACAAATGTTGTAAATAAGTGATTAAAATTAATGTGATAGACCAAGTGGCTTGTAGTCCACTGGTATCGGATTGCTCCCTTAAGTGGGAGGTGTAAGGTTCGAACCTCAATTGAGGCAATAGTGTGTATATGTAGGGTATCCCCCTTCCTTATAATAATAATAAAAAAAATTAATGTGATAGACTATGGACTTGCAAACTGCAAATGAGATTAGCTATTTTTTTCTTTTATATTAATCTTTGGTTTTCCTGTCGGTTTTCAATTTTCTCTTGAAAAAACGATAACCGAATATTTTTTTACCTTAATAACCAAAATTGAATCGAAAATTGAAATTTTCGGACGGTTCGGTTTTCGATCGTCGGTTTTTTGGTCGGTCCGATTTTTTTCTCACCCTTAAATATGGGGTATCATTGTTTAGTAATGATATGCAATTTATCAAGTAACACGCAGTAAGGATAGCATCAACCCAAGAACATGAGAGTGTACTAACATAGTGCGAGCAATTTCAACTAAATGTTGATTTTTGTGATTAGCCATCCCATTCTGCTGAGGTGTGTAAACACACGACCGTTGGTGTAACATATCTCGAGAGGTCATATAGGACTGAAAGGGATTAGAGACATATTCCTTAGCATTGTCACTATGCAGAACACGAATGAGTTTACCAAATTGAGTATGTATTTCAGCACAAAAATTTTGGAACATCTAAAATAACTAAGAACGATCTTTCATTACCAGACATTCCTTATTTATTTTTAATTTTATATTTGATATTATTTTGTACAATCTTCTTAATTCTTAATTTTTAAGAGTTAATAATATGAGTGATGAAGAATTAATAAATGAAGTATTGTAAAATTGTTCCTAGTCATAGGAATTCTAATTGGGCATTAGAATTCCGATAAGACTAGCACATTGTCTTTCTTATGGTGAGTCTTATGTCATTTCATATGAGATACGGAGAGTGAACATGTGGATGATTGTTAGAGAACAAGTCATTGAACAATGACTGACTACAATGTATCGTATGGTGTTTACCTACTTGTCATCGGTATGTTGTATGTTACAAGTATGCAATAATCCTTTGACTTGAGACGACATGGTTGTCTCGTACATATGGTGGACTAGTTTTTGTCAGTATGCGTCTTTTGTTCCTTATGGGACTATAAGTGTATTTGGTGACCTAGTTCAGTATTGTACGGAGACATGTGTGCATTCAATAGAAAATCCACCGCCTTGAGGTAACAAGGATGTTCCAGTCTATTCAATAATCATATAATGAGAATCTCTAGCCAAAGTATAATGAAGTTGGACTTCAGGTTAAGAATATTGAATATACATATTGACCAGGTTGATAGATTTGACCAAGTTTGACCATGTTCAAAACAAGTATTGTATGGAATGAATGTTGCATAATATTTGTAACGGAAAGGTTCATTGTAATAGATTTAAATATTATCATTGTCAACTAGGTTTTCATGACATATTGCTAGGTGTCACTCATGACTTACGAGTTATTTTTTTTTTTTTTTTTGAAAATGACTTACGAGTTATTTAATACTCCCTCCGTCCCGAATTGGTTGTCTCATTTACTTTTTGCACGCTTTTTAAGAAATTAAAGTAAATGTTATGTATTTTTCAATTATGCCCTTCACTTTTTCACTTTTGGAAATAAAAGCAAAAGTCATAAGGGTAATTTGGGAAAAAGTAGAATGATGGTGATGTTCAATTTTGGAAAGAGGACAACATTTTGGGACAAACTAAAAAGGAAAGTAAGACATGCAAAATGGGACAGAGGGAGTAGTAAGTTATTAAATATTAGTCGTTGCTAGTTTGACTATAAACCTAAAAAGTCACATTAATGATTCGTGGTAATGCTGAGAACTTTAAAAGAAATTGATAAAGAGTTATCGATATTGAATTAATATATTAATAGCTGATTAATGAATTAATTGAAAATTTGGTAGTTTTGGGTTTTTAAAGGCCATCACCTTTGGGCCCAAATCAGGCTTTATAAATAAGTCTTGCCCATTTCTTAAATTAAGAAAATGTGGGCAATTTATATCGTGCACCAGGGCGCGCATTGCATTGTGCGCCCTGGTGCAAAACGACGTCGCTTTGATTTTTATTTATTTATTTATAATTTTGCTTTCCTGTGTCGACTGTTAATTTTCTTTAAAAAAAATTCATGTTTCGAAAATGTACATAATTGTATACTAGAATGTACATAATTTTATAACAAAATACACATACTCTTTTTTGAAAATATAATACATATAATCTAACATAATACATAATATACATAAACTTTTAACATAATACACATAAACTCTTAATATAATACGCATAAGTTCCCTATTTTGGATGTACATAATTGTATTAAAAAAAATGTACATAATTGTATAAAAAAAGTACATAATTATATAAAAAATGTACATAATTGTATACAAAAATGTACATAATCGCGTCAACTTCCTACACAACTTAACAAAACGACGTCGTTTTGGGAGGCGCGGGGCACACAGTGCTGTGTGCATCGTGGTGCAGGGTATAACGATTGGAAAAAGTGAAATAGAGATTTGGCAGAAAAGAAAAAGAGTTTTTTTCACGCGGAAATCTCTGGAAGTTCTTGCATGCCCGGCCGGTGGACGGACTAGAGGCCGTACAATGGGACGATTTAGGATTTATATCTGTCAAAGCATGCTTCAAAGGTAAAACATTCAAACTCCCTTTTTAAACGTAGAATCTAGATAAAACGATTGATGCTTTCGATGCGCTTGTATGAATTTTTCTAACAAAATATGCAACTGATGTAAGTCTAATTGTGAATATTCCTAGTATTGGATTGATTATATTTGCTAGGTTTGAGTTCATAATTTTAGTAATTTAATTGCTTAATCTCTTGTTTTATCATTTAGTTATGGTTCACACTCGTTTTGAATGTTTTACGGTGTTTGTTAGTGTATTCAAACAATTATAGGTCAAGTACAATAGCAAGGGAAGTTTTAGAGCGAGTTAGAAGCCAAAAATGAATAAGTTGGGACCTAAAAGAGTCGACGCGTCGAGATTTGACAGTACGCCATTTAATTTCGGAATAATTAAGTTCGACGCGTCGAAATCGTGAGGCGCTGATTTTACAAAAGAAAGAGGCGGCATTAATTTACTAAAGAAATCAAGGAAAATGGCGCTGAATTTCATAAAGGGCTGCAATAATACTTAAGTCAAAAGGGGCTGAAATACAAAGGTGGTAATTTCTAAAAAAAAAGAAAAAGAATTTTAATTTCGACCCCAGATGTAATTTCAGCCCAATTTCACACAAAATTCCTATTTCTATTGGAATTAGTGTAACATTCCGATTTTCATGCCAATTTAAACTTAATTATGCAGATAATCTAACCACAATATAAGCATACACAGCGGAAGTCTAACTATATAAACTGGAAAACGAGGAATGTTATGCCACGTTCACGTTAAGGTGAACGCACAGGCGAGAACAACATCCACATAATCAGTCTAACAAGGGACAAGGTTAAAACAACAACAATCTATTGTTTAACATAAAAGGCTCACAGGCCCAAAACAAAGCTAATAAAGTCTGAGGGATCTACACTATCCATCACTAGATCGCGTTCGCCACTACTCGGAACCTGAAAAGCACATAAATAAATGGGACGACGCCCGGTCAGCGAATGATGCTGGTAACCCACCAATACATGTTATGTATCATACGTAGATAGTATATACAAAATCATTTTTGAAACGGGATACTATATATATAAGTTCAAAGCCAAGGATAGAAGTCAATCACAAGACTCTATACCACTCTCAATAAGAATAAGGGAACACATCCAAGAAGTAAACAACGACAACATAAGTAAGGCTCAAGGTGTATTCTACCATCACTCAGTAGAATACCACCCGACATGCTCAACACAAGAGAATAAAGACACATATTGACAACACATGCCTTCGTGACATCACTCATCACGAATAGAGGAACACACAACGGCAACACATGCCTTCGTGACATCACACATCACGAATCATAATCCTTATGCCCGGTTCCAACCTTATGGCTACCCCCAACCTTATAGCTAGTTCCAACCTTTACCTCCAGGACCCCTGTACATACAAGTCCAACCTTATTCCTCCGAGGACCGTCGTCCCCATCCACCAACAAGCCACTAACAATTTCCACCAATTCATAGTACACGAGGGTACCGATCACACACATGGTAACACATGCCTCCCAAGAAATACGTGAACCCATCACACAGGTCACAAACTCCATATTCGCGTTATGGCCACCACGAGGACCACTGCCGTACCTTTGTGACTAATGTCCCATACCATTAATCATGCAATCCAGGTACAGCCACACACACGATACCATCATAGGAATCAATCAACGGATCACAACGAAGATATGAAACCATACTCAACAAGGAAAAGATCACAATCCGACAACAACGATGATCAACACAAGTCATCATCCACAATAGGAAAGAACAAACCACACACGCTAGCATTTAAACACCGAACTAGCATGCTTATCAAACGGGTAAACTAAACATAGTTCCGAAGAACACACAAGACTCATCATGGGTCAACGAATCACAAGGTTAAACACTTAGCACGATTCAAGACACCAAAACCTACATGGAATCCTACCATATAGTTCTAGACATACGAAACATCAAGAAGACACTCAAATAGTTTCACAAAAGAACATCAGGAAGTCAAAACATCAAATACCGAGTCAAAAGAATCACGGGGAACA